CCAAGAAATAACGAAAAAATTAAATATTATATTTTATATATTATTACTAACAATACTAATGTGTTTTAACGACATCGAACTTATAAATGCGTAGTAAGAAAAATAAATATCAACAGTATTATTGTTTCACTTTCTTTATTCCATTTCTTAAACATATTAATTTTCATTTTCATGTTATACAACATCAAAACAAAAAATACTTAGATTGGAAATAAAATTGTAAAGTTCTAACCACTATTACGACGTAATATACTTATACACATACAATTAAATTACACGAGATTATTATTATAGTGTATTAGAACAGGAATAGTGCGTATTTGTATTAACATAAATATGTAAAAGAAATTGCTATTCACATACATTTAATAATAGTATCGATTAATGGCATCATAAAAATGAATTAACCAATTGGAGAAGGCAATTGTATGACATTTTGTGTACATAGCAGCAAGTTTAGGTTACCATGGTATGGTATCACTGCTTATCTGCGATTTATCATATTTTTGTGATTTAAATTGAACCACTTGTTGTAAACATAAATTTAAAACGTGAATTATATTTTACTGAAACATATCTTTTTATATATAAATGTAATTTACTCAGCTAATGTAGAAAATAGGTTACGGAATAGAACATTGACGACATCAGTATTTTTAGAATTGAATAGAAAACATCAATTGTTAAAGATATTGTATCGGGAATTGTTTTTTTTATGTACACCGATATGAAGAAGACGAACGTGTTTATGTTTATTATAATTCATATTTTTACTGCCGTTGTAAGTGTTAATTGTGAAGATGAAAACTTCTTTGAAGATGTGCTGTAAGTATATCAACAATTTATCTTTATTTTTTTAGATTAAGTAAAATCTTTCTGCTGCTTTATATCTACAGTAAAACTATTTATTATGCACCTAACAATAAATAATTTTTTACAGAAATCCAGAAGATATTGTAGATCCACATTCTTTGTATTTTAATAAGCAAAGTAAGAAGATGATTACAGATATGGAAGTGGGCTCATATGAGTATGTATAGGACCTAATTTGAATGTAATATACAGTAGAACAGAACTACATGATGTCAAAGTAATGCACATTGTGCTATTATATTATTCAGATTGCTAGTTAAATGCAAGCATGTTTTTATTAAAACAATTTCTGTATTTCTATTATTTCAAGAAAACATGAACATTTTGTTTTACAAAAATATGCATTGCAATTTTATAATCAAATAAATCATTTGTAGGGCAACAGATATCTTACAAGAGAATAATGAAGCAAAATGTATCGTGAAAACTAGTGAAAAAGCAAATGATTGTAGCAATCATGAAGCAATCTTTTATAAGCGTCTTCTTAATTTGTTATTATCAAATATTAACATACAGGTAGTAAGATAATAGGATTTCATTAATACATATTTAACTGAATACATTTAAACATATTTAAAAATTAATGTATTTTAATTATTGTAAACAGGAGGAGGATGACGTATCAATAACAGGAACAGTACAGATTGAAATATCTCATTCACAAATGGAAATCCTTCAAAACTTTAAGGTTCACAAAAAATCTTTAAGAGAAGTTGATGAAATTTTGAGCAACATAATAAAGAAGCCTGGATACAATTATATGGCTGGAGCTATGTATATTTTTGGTGTACTACAAAAAATACTGAACACACTATTTGAAACAGTACAAGAATATGTAAGAATATTTATATTATTTCGTTGTGTTTCTTATTTATATATTTATGTAGAAAGAATTTTGTGGTTTTAATGTTTCAGCAAAATGGAGCTGTAATTATATTTGCATTGTTAATGGTTGGTTTGTCATTTAGAATGATGAAATGGGGACAAACACTTCCCATCTTCAGTTTAATACAAATCATATTTGTACTTAGTTTCTTTATGACTTGGTGGCAACTTATACAGGTAAATAAAGTTAACTAATAGGAAACATGTTTGAGTTTTAAAAGAGTATTATCTTTTTACTGAAATTATATTCTTGAAAAGGATGCTGAAATTAAAGCTGCTGCAGCACAAATGAAATTTGCAGAGATACCAATCTCATGTCAACCAGATAAAATGAACTTGTGGCATAAGTTTGTTTCATACTTTAGTGAGTATGCTTTATTCAAATACATTTTAAAATATTGTGAACTATTATTTATAATTTTCGTGTTTATAGTTAACGACGATTGTGAACAGTATTATAAAATAATGATGTCTAATCCAAAGCTAACAGTTACACCTGCACTTGCATTAACTCATTTTATTACTACCGTTATTCTTCATCCAATTACACATGTCGGCACTGTAATATCTTCTTTTATAAGTAACGCTACAGGTAATTGAACAGTGATTGTTATTTAAAAACATTTATATTTAATCTTTCAAGTCTATTTGATCATTTCGTTTATTTTTTTAGAGGATGTCTCATGGACCTATGCGTGGATTATAAAATGCATGCTCTTTTTGTGCGTAGGTCTCGTTATATTAATGATACCGATCTTCCTATCTGGTGCATCTATTAATTTAGGCTTCGGACCACTGTTCAGAATCGGAATTAGTCATCAGAAAAAATCTGAAAAAGGTAATTCGTTACAAAGTATTGAAAAACGGGAACCTGTAGAAGTAATTCTGAAGGTAATGCATCCATTTGTTTTCATTTTCACTACAATGCTTCATTTTTTACCATTATACTTGTCATCAATCATATACGTTTGCCCATAATTGTTGTAGCAATCTGAACTTTCTTTTAGTTAAATCCTGCTATCGACTTACCACAAATAAAAAAAACTTTGGAGATCAAGCAAACAGATGCTCTACCAGTATTAGAAACTGAACGCGAAGAAATAAACAGTGATTTTCAAAAATATGAGGATGATTTATCTTCTGGTGATACAATAAAAACCCAAGAGTTTTTAAAATGTGATAAAGAAAATGTTACGAAAGGTGAAAAGCATGATGCAGTGAAGTTGGGAAAAAACGACGGAAGTGGAGATGCTTGATATTTGTTATTTTACATTAATTTGTTTCCTAATGTATATATATGTTATTAATGTACAATATATGTAATGTAAGTAAATATTTAATTTTACACAAGTTAACATTAATATTTAACTTAACGAAAAATCGAACATTTAAACGAACTTTATAAATATTTATATTTGTAACGAATGGCGTAAACAATAATCAGATTCAAGCATTTAATTGAGCAGTATTTTTAACATCTATTTTGTTTTCGTCTAAATGTTTTTATACAGATTTGTGAAGTGTTTTAAAACATGGTGTGAAAGTATTTATATTATACACTTAAATTACATATCTGAAGATTTAAATACACACTTTTCTGCAAAACCTCAAATTTTAATTTAATACAACATTCAAGTTCTGTACAATGTACCCGAACGATGTTCGCCAAAGAGAACATGCATATTAATGCGAATTCAGCCTAATGAGCAGCAAGCAAACAAGAATTTGCTAAACGTAATGTCTGCACTTTCAGATCTAGAAGGGATGCGGATGTGTTTCTAAAGGAGAATATGAATCACGTACCCGTGCAGTTTCAGAATCGACAGATTCCAAGCAAATGTTCACATGTCGAATAAAATAATTAACTTTTTTCATTATTCAAAAAACTATATGACATTCGAAATACAGTATATTCCACAAAATTTGGTTACACACTGTACAATTAGTAGTACAGTGTGGTTGAAACGTCGATTAAGAGAAACGGGGGTAACGACGACGTCACAAAACTAAGCATTCTCGCTTCTGCACATATTTCATAGCGTCAGAGTTACTTGTCACCTCACATATATCCCATCAACAAGCCAGTTAAATTCCTGCGCTGCGCTTGGAAAATTCGTTCATGTTATTATTTATAACGTGTGAATTTTTTAAACCACTTTGGAGTATCTGATCACGTTACGCATGCTTTAGAAAGAAAGGGGATAAAAGGAGTACTGTCGTTGTGACCAGAAAATGTAACGCTTCGTTACACCGGTGGCATGATAAAAAAAAAAAAAAAAATTGGAGTAGCCGTGTAACCAAAATATTGAGAATGGCTCGATCGAACGGAACAGCGGTAAGAGAACTTTTTCAAACTGTTCACAGGTCCATAAACAGCAGGCGTGTTTACAGCCAAAAGAGAAGGATACGTATTCAGGGTAGGGGGTTGGGTTTCATAGAACCATAGGTGCATTACATGCTCGAGATGATGCCTAAGAGAGGCGGTGCTGGTGTATACACCAGCATGTTCAGCCCTTAGCTCCACTTCCGCAAAACCACCGTCGTTCCTTCAGCGTGTATTATATTTGCCTCAGAAAGTTTGTCCATTTTCTACACTCGTCTACACAGTGTAAACGTGTATTAGGCTTGCATGCATTTCCAAGGAATTTCATTTGACTATTCTTTCTGCAAAAAATGTCACTCCTGAAGAAGACAAAAATGTCTCGCATTAAATTCAAATTTAGGGTATTTTCAATTTGTGCAAAAAATGTGTTATTTCTAAAACAGACAAAAATGTTTGGCCCGTAATGTCTGGCATTTAATAAATCATCCCTGAAATTGAAATTGGACAATTTAACAAGACCAAGTCTAGTCCACATCGCCATTTGATACAAGCCACTTTCACGTCTATACAATACGAATAAAATCGTTCAACTTCCAACTTCGTTATCGCCGTTCTGACGAACTCGTTCATTTCTTTCTTCTTTTCTTTTTTCCTCCCCGGTCGTTTCACCCAGCTACAACCCCACCGGGCAAAGTTACAAGCGTTAAACGAGCGTTCGGCACGCCTGTAAGGAGTCTGCAAACTTTTCACGACTTGGTGGAACTTCGGTGCAGCGTGGCTTAATCCGTTTTCCGCGAGATGCCTAAAGCAGGCACGATCGTGGATGCATCGACGAGCATCGGCGAAGGCTATCAAAATAACGAACCTATCTCATTTCAAAGTGCCTTACTTGCGCATCGGTGCGTCCGAAACGAGCGAGGATCCGTTCTATGCACGTGCAACCGAGCTTTTCACCTGAAACCTAAACGGCCTTTTCCCCACATCTGCTCCAACGATGTCCCCAGGTTTCGCTATTAGTCGCCGCCTGTGAGCCGCCAAAAATTCCAACTTTCAAACCACACTATACTCGTCTTTCTCTGTATGTGTGTGTGTGTGTGTTACCACCGTCACAATCTTAAGAGCACTTGGACAAACCTCAGGAGAAGTTTCCTAAAGATTTCCTCTTGGCTGGCCACGAATACGATCGTTGAATCGATGATCGATCCAAGAAGGCGGGGCGATGGATCCTGTGGTGGTCGATGTAAAAATAGCACCGGTGGTTTGTACGCTTGGTCGATCGGTATTATATCCTGTACGAGGTAGAAGAGTGTGTTCCGTATCCCGTAGTTTCGATTTTTCTTCGACCACTTTCCTTCTTTGTGTTCGGTCTCGTTCGCCGGCGAAGAAGAAGAAGAAGAAGAAAAAAGGAAGAAAGTTGGATCGTATCTACCGGGACCGTCATATCTCCCAAGGAGATTTTCGGGAAAGTTATCGATAATTCATTTTAAGTGGTACATTACAATTGGAAACTTCGCGGGAAAGTTCCTGCGGGAAGACAAACTTCCAGAGGCGGTCGAAGTCTTCAACAAAGTGAAATACATAATGCATGGGAACATAATTAAGCGAGGCGCCAGAGGGGTAGGGACGAAGTTTTAACCGATTTACTTCGTGCGAGATAGACAATTCGGCTATAGCTGTTGGAAGAAGTTCATATGCCGCGATCTTCTTAATCATCGTATCTCGTTGCGGTAACTGTTGACGTAACACGCGAGGATCCATGCAAATGATATGTTTCAACGTTGTTTCGCGCAACAATTCCAAAGACTCTAATGCTACACGAGAATTATAGATTTCGTCTGCAGACGCTGTTTCTTATTTTCCATTTTAACAGTTTACAGAATTGTTCGTTCTGCGGACAATCGCTGTAGGTGTGTACAAGACGTTAGCTTTGTTTCGCTACTCGATGCTTGATATTTCTTCCAGAGATTCCAGAGGATGGTTGGTTCCGAGTAGTTGCAGGAAGTGTTGCGTTTCTACGAACAATTCGGCGATCGACACACGACGGTGCCCGATTCTTGCATCGCTTTGCGATCGTCAGCCTGTAAATTTTCGTACCTGGATGTTGGCTGATCGTGGTTGGATTCGGTAACTCATGAGAGGTCTGGATATCAGGAAATAGATGGTGGGTGTAACGATCGGTTACCGCTGCTGAACGTTTCGCTGTTCACCAGAATTGCTGAATGTAAACTGTCTATTACCGACGTTGGACCCGATCGTTTCATGCTTCTGTCGAGTGTGCATTTATCAGCATTGTGCAGCACACCGAGAACCGGAACGATATAGATTTTCCACCGTGCCTTCCTTCCCCAGATTTACGTCTGTACGAACAAATATAACAGATATCGGTTGACGATGTATCGGCTATGCGAACGAAGGAGGGAAATCATTTTTTCCACCGGTGCATTGTTTCCACGGGACCTTTCCATTCGACCGTGGGTCTCTCTCTTCTCTGTATTTCAAGAAAAAAGCAGAAGAAGAGAAAAGGAAAATATTCTTCTCTCTGGTTTCTATCGATTTTCACGCGAACTTTGTGCATTAAATAGAGCTTGACTAATGGAAGCATAACTTAAAATATGTTCCGGTATATTCATAGACGCGATGTTATACATCGATATAGCAGCTTCTATGTGGTCTATTAAAGCCTTTCATTGACAACCTTCGTACCTGAGATCAAAGCTGCATCTGCCTCTCTATTCGTAGTTTATTAATCACTTTGTCGTGTAACAATTTACCAGCAATTTTAGTTTTGGTCGTGAAAGTTCGAAAAGTTGACTATTCCTCTTCTCTCTCCCTCGTTTAAAATCGTTAATTATTTATAATAAATCAAGGATCGTGTTTAACCTACATACGAAATCCACACGAATATTCCCCCTTTCATCCTCGTGTGCCGTCAGATTCACCCTAACGTTTCCCATCTATCCGCGGTCGAAAGTCCTAAATATCCGACCCGAAAAACCCTCTTCTTTCCCCCGATTTGAAAACCTTCGTGTGTCACGTGTAATTAACACGTTTACAGATGCCTGGTTGGAAAGGTCGAAGGAAAAAGGAAAGTGTAATTCAATGTCGGGACCCGTGGACGTACCACGAAGCGGGCAGAAGTAACCGCACGATAACGCGGCATTCCAGCATGAGAGGGTAGTAATTAAGACCTCGGCTGGTCCCAAGGGACTTTGTACACCGTCTCCCTATATCTTATCGCATGGCTCGCCTCGACTCGGTGTCCATGCTTTATATCGATGGGTTTATTCACCCAAGAGGGCAGTCCCGTATCGTGGAACGCGTGCTTCTACACGTAGTAGAAATATATACAGTTCGATCGTCTGTTTTCCAATTATCGACCAACCACTCTTTCGACACGGCCACGCGGACAAATTTACGGCACATTTCGAGATACACCTCCGTCCGTAAGTCACGGGAGGTCTGCTAATTTCCGATTTACGTTCGAATTGACACCGTAACACACCTTACTTACAGATTACTCGCACCGAAAATAGTTTCTTTGAAAATTCTACGTACCGAGTTTCCAATTTTCTCGTCAATGCACGCTCCTCGTTTCGCGATCATACTAATTTTCACAGTCTTGCGATGAGTTTTCTCCATGTTTCTTCCTGGATCGCTGAAAATCTGTTCACAGATCTTTTTCTAACGTTGGACAGTGTTTCAGTATTTTTTTTTATATTAATTATAATAAAATCCCAGCCGTATCGATAAAAATATATTCCTTAAATCAAATTGTTATCAATAGGACGGTTCATATCGAAATAAGTAACTAAATCTGTGAAGCGATAAGGTGTCCCATGACTTACTAATCGACGACGTTCCATCGTCACACAAATGTTTACAAGTGTACCATAAATTACGTAGCAGCGCGATAATCAAGAGTAGAGAGCAACG